TTCACTACCAATTTTTCTCTTGTAGGTTCATGTTATATTAGGGTGCTAGAATAGCACCAGAAATAGAGATTCGAGTTCTTTCTTCGTCATCATAAATTTAGTACTTTTTTTTCACCATTTTGTTGCTAAATTTAGTGCTTTTTCATTGCTAGTATCGTCGAGTTCAGAGATTCTTCATTGGTTCTTTTTTCATACTGATTAGTATTCTGCAAAAGATTCAGATCTGATCAGGATCCACTTATAGATCAAGTTTGGATCTATTATTTTTGGATCCATATAAATTTAGATTCACAGTAAGATTCATTAGGTATACCTGATCCAGATCTGTAATAATATTGCATATTATTGCATGCTAATTGGTTAATCATATATATAATTTGTCTTTCATCAAGGTGTTATAAAAGCAATGAAATATAACTACAGGTATTCTGTCTCTGCTGCTTTGTGCAAATACTAAAACAATAATACAGATTTTAAGAGTATTGATAAAAGCTAGGGATAGCAAAATCTTCGGGACCAGGACCTTGAAACCCAGTTCTAGAATTTAATTTACAAAAACCAGATCCAAATTTTAGGATCTGGGTTTATAAGTCCTTGATAAGTCCTAATATAAATAATGCCAAAAAAAGAAAATTCTTGATTTACAATTTATAATATATACTTCAAGTTATATTTAGTTTATCTGGTAGTCCAACAAGCATAACAGTAAACAGATACTAATATTATCTATTTATATAATCTTGAAAACTTTTAAAACATAAAAGGGTATGGTGACATAGAGTAGTAGTTAAGTTGTCATCCCCCAAGTGGCAGGTCTAGAATTCGATTCCTACTAGAGATATTTTTCAAAAAATAGGCCTATTTTCTGGTAACATTTATTTGATGATCGGTTAGGTATATCACCTGTAACCTTGATACTACCCTCTCGTTATAGAAGCTTTAGAGTGATCCAAATCCAAGAAACCAGAATATTTAAAACCTGTTTGGCAAGACCCGAGCTAGGAGTAGTAAAGATCTTTGACGATACTACAAAAAATCGGAACCAGAGACTGAAGAACCGGACAAACAACTCTGGGGCAAGAAGGGTCCACCAACCTGGCCATCAGAGTTGTACCGGAGGAAAAGGTCTGATGCTATAGAATTTAGAACCAAGAGAAGTAAAACCAGAAGGTACTTAGAGCCTAGATACAACAACCCTTTTGTGTTAACTAGTTTGGTAGTTGGGGAGAGATCGGTATAAGGGCTAGTTGGAAGTGGATATCAGGATTAGAATGAACCTTGTAAGGACAAGGAGTAGATATAGTAGTGATGCAAAAGATCGCAAGTTCTAGTTCTCGGATTGGGGCGTAAGTATCAAAAAATCTAGGTAATACATGTGTGGAGCATAGACCATTCTGGTAGATTTACTACGAGGATAAAGTAGTCCTAAGAAGCCTTAGGGCAGGTACTCTTCCAGGGAAAATATTTGATAGCACTAAGTCGATTAGAGGGTTTAAATAGGGGATCCACAAGCGGATCTTAGATATGGCAATTGGTGAGTAACTATAGATAGAAATAGATATAGCAGAGCCCTTAATTAGACAATAACTAAAGTTGTATATATGACCAATTGTACTCTTGTTGATGTAACAAAGTTAAAAGATACCTACTAAGTATTTCAATAATTGAACTGAGAAGTTAATAAATCATGCCAGACCCCCAAGTGGTCACCTTAATATTAAAAAAAAAACAAAAAAAAAAAACTTTTAAAACATTAGCTAATAAATTCAGTATTTTATAAAATTTATTTCTCTATTTATATATATAATAACAATTAAACTATTTTATAATATAGACTGTGATCTATTGTATAAGTGTGAAATAATGTCTATGAGTATTATTTTAAAGATCAAATATTTTGCATAGTCTTGAATTAATATCCATAAACATCCCAAATTAATAATATACTAGATTTAGTAAATCAGTTTTATTATATAAACAGTTAATTAATTAATATATATGGTGCAAGTAGTGATTTAAACTGATTAGCATTCAACCGGTTAACTGATTTAGATATGGCCAATCCGGATGAATGGATGAAAATTAAGATCAACTGGTTAATCTGGTTAATCCAGTTAATATATATAATCCGGTTGATTTAAGTAATCAATGCTGCAATATACGTACGTGCTATACCAAATTTAGATTGATAATTTGATTATAGTGTAGTGTACAACAAAACCCTGCATATAATAATTAAAATAATGAATTCTGAATATTTTATGGACAAATATTACAACGGGATTTTTACATTTTCGATAAGGCTTGAGAAAATTTCCAGAATTAGATTCTATCAAAAGTTATTATTATGTGTATATAAATATATAAAAAGCGTCATACAGTTAAAGCTCGATATACCGAATTTTTACATAGCGAATATTTTGAAATAGCGAAAATTTTTTATATAATAAATATGTTTGAACATATAAATTTATCTTTAGATAGCCGAATATTTCTTAATAGCGAAGGCAATAGACCAGAATATGGACTTCGCTATGTCAAGCTTTGACTGTATATTCATAACTTTGTATACATGTAATATATGGTATAGTCTCAAATGTAAAAATGCTCTATAGATATAAAATATTACCAATGAATTAAATCATATTTTTTATTATACAATGCTAGACGCAGAGAGTTAAATATAATTATAGTCTCAATCGTTTATTGATTTGTTAAATAGATTCGGAATCAACTTTAAGTTGATTCAAAATCTCCTAACCATAGATAAATTTCACTTTAGCCTACGTACGTACGTACATTTAGAATCCAAATTTAGTAAGATTCTGTTTGTCATAAAAAATCGCGTATAGAATCTACTTGAGTAAATTCAAATGCATATGAATTGTATCAAAATGTCAAAGAATTTACTTTAAAATAAAAAGTATTTTAGTAAATTTGTTCATTCAAATATAGTATTTCTCAATGACTATTTATTATAAATATCAAATGATCCGAAATTATTTAGATTTGAAGTTTAAAGTAACCGAAGAATATTTAAAATCATAAGAAATGCAATTCGGCTTTCTATCATTGTAATTGCTACAGAACTTATGAGAAAAAAATGCCCATCGCATCCAGAAGGAAATACCCACAATTCAATTTGGTTAAGGATTATTTTCAAGATTTGAATCATAGTTATAATAAATTTAAATGAGCTTAAACAAAGAACAATGTAATATTAAAAAAGAGAATAATATCTCTTCTGTTATACATATTGTCATAAATTTTCAATTTAGTACAATCTTTTTTTTTCTTGGGCTCCAGTGGTACGCCATCATTGTATTTGAAATGTCAAACAATTGATAAAATATATACCGAGTATTACTGATTAGAAGCAACCCTCAAAAAAAATCCTCCTGATTATAGATTAAAATTTGATAGAGGTTATTGTATTTTGCTAATAAAATTAGATACAAATATGTAACTCATTGCTTTAATTTTTTTTTGGTTACTCTTATTCAGTAATATACGGTATATATTAATGATATGCAGGTGTAAACTCGTAATCACTATCCACTAGGGCCCTTGAAAGTTTATAAAATTGGCATTCAAAAAATAACAAAAAAATAAAATTCAATTATTAACCAACCTTTTTGTAAGAAAGATCAATGATAACAATATACCTGAATCTTTAGCCCAAGTCATACACATTGTCTTCATTTATGCATTTGGATATAATAATCTCTCGGCTTTAAAATCCAAAATTATATTATAAATATATATATACAAACGTATATATATATCAATATAAAAGCCTCAAAAAAAAAAAAAAAAACAAAAAAAAAATAGTATGTCTGATATCAAAAGTACATCAGAATCAGAAAGTGAGCAAAGTTTACAATTATAAACATCAAGTCAAATGAATTATAAAAAAAAGAGGAGGCGTAAAACAACTAAACAAACTTCAAAATGCTAGAAATATTTCATTCATAATGAAGAAAAATGATATGCCAATTTAAAGTAAAAAAAAATGGCAAAGAATTATTCTGTAGCAAAACATTTAAATACTTAGCTGGTGGGTCAACATCTAATATGAATTTACACCTTGCTAATGAATATAGTTTGGTCGAATTTCAGAAAGATAAAAAGGTAAACAGAGTTAAATCCACTATTATATAAAAATGCATTAAATATAAATATGTATTAATAGTTAGTAATTCTTATGCATTAATTTAAAAATTATAGGATAATAATAATGATAAGCCTTCAAGTTCTCAACTATCTGTAATAAAGATGTTACAACGCACAATTCCTCCTCATAAAGAAACCAAAAAGATTAACATTCATAGAGCAGTTACTGAATGGCTTGTCATTGATAATCGTCTGCTTGATACAATTAAAGGGAAGGGTTTCCGTCATTTTATGCTTCAGGTTGATCCCGCTTTTCGTCGACCTTCCTATAAAGTATTAAGAAAAAATATATCATTTGCAAATACAAATACAAAGAAACAAATATATAATCTTTTAAATGAAACTTGTGAAAATGTTTCATTAACTACAGATCTTTGGACCTCGCGAAATAACACAGGATACATTGGCATTACAGCACATTGGTTAAACAAGCAATTTTAGCTAAATGAGATCTTACTTTGTATAGAGCTCATGCCATATCCTCATACTAATGCTGTCATTAAAGAATTTCTTATAAGTAAAGTTCAAGAATTCAATTTACAAAATAAACTTACTTGTGTAGTAACTGATAATGGCACTAACATGGTTGCAGCTATTAAAAATTGGGATAATATAGAAAGGATTAATAGAGACCAGGATTAAAATTTCAAATCTAAAACTAGTAATAAAATAAGTACTAGTAATAATTTT